TATCTGTACACATCTTAAAATAAAAAAAATCTTATTGCATCAGATGTTTACTATATATATTGCGATCTTCAATAATATACTTAATATTGTATCAGGAAATCATGTATGTTACGCTTTGCTTTGTATTATAATCGTCTTTTTTATGCTGTACTTTGAGGAAAGCCAGAAATATATTAACGTATCGTGCGTTGCGTGTCATGTCGTGACACATCAGTTTCATACATTTATTATGGGTTAGAGAGAGAGAGAGGTTAGAGCGTCGACACGATACGACACATAAGCTACACGTTCAGTTTGTAATGTGGTGCATCAGTTTTTATCAAATAATGTGGTATTTACTGACGGTGGAACCTAGTGTCTGAATGTCAGTATTTATCACGAATTTCTAAATTCTGAATTCCGGAATAACACCTTGTGTCAAATATTGACATCAGTCAGTACTCAGTACATTCTCTGAATATTGGATTCCAGAGAGTACACTACACTAAACCAAACACTAAACTATCTTTTTTTTTTATTAGCAAATGACATAGCCAGGATACAAGTCCATAAAGCACTAAACTATCATTAAAGAGGTGTTGCCACCTTGGTGGTTTTTCCATCAGAACTGGTGCTTTTTCACGGCTTCTAGGGGTACATTTTCATTATGTTAGGAGGTATTTTTTTTGTGTGTTTTAAAATGAAAGCTGGCAACCTAATTTTAAGGGGGAAATCCCGTAACATTCCAGAATGTCATAATGTTCCATGTTTACTCAGTAAGAGGGGAATCCCTGCACGCGTTTGTTTGTTAATGGCTTCTTTCTAATGTTCATTCTGTTCCAGGAACAGGCTAGTTGACTCATGTCAAATTGTACTATATTAATGTTTATTTCTTATAATTTTTGGTATGAGGAACATAAATAAAGTCATTTTCTTGAAAAAAGTCCCGCGATGATTTGTGGAACAAAATTTGACAGATCGGCCATGTTATGATGTTATCGTACATCGATGTTAAACAGTTCGTTCGTTGTTGTAGATTTTTGTAAGTTTATAATTGAATAAGTGCGCTTTTTGGATTGTTCACAATGCCCAAAGTTGTAAAAAGTTCGGCTCGAGAAATGGTACTAAAAGTTAAAGAGCGGAACAAAAGATACAAGGTGTTCTAATACCACTAAACAATGGTCGCAAGAAATTCGCCGCCATAACATGTACTTTTTTTTATAGTTGCCATATAATGATTTTTTGACGTATTGATTGGAGTTTTATCATATGAACTTTTTTTATTTAAAAGACAAAAATTTATTGGGTAACAAATTAAAAATGTAAATATATATATATAAAATAAGTATTTTAAACTTATAATTACTTATTATTTTAAATTGTTCATAGTTTAATTGCAGGTGTGTCAGAGAAAACTGTAACAAGAATCACAAAACAAGGTATCACAGCGGCGAGTTTTTCGAAAAAAATTGACACCCCGGGGAAGAGTCACCCGCATCCGAAAAAGTTCGACTTGGATGGGTTCGATTTGTGCGCCTACCCCCAAAAAATTCACAGTTTTTATGTTGTGAAGAAGGAATTACCAACATTGGGTAAATTACGGGCCGCTTTGAAATAAGACATGGGGAGTATTCCGAAATATACATCAGTGTACTGGCCAATGTTAATGACCTCACGAATCCGACGCCATATTGTACTGGTATGCTGCCATATTTTTACCAGGAAAACGAATATGTCGTATGACCGAGCGTGAGTGAGATGCATTCGACTTTTTTTTTATTTAAAGAACAATAATGGCATCCGAACAAAAAGAATTCCTTTTAATTGATGATGTGAATAAAAAAACGAGCGAGCCTTACACATGGACGTATAAAAAAAGGCGGACAGAGTCCCGGTAAACAACAAACTGTGTCGCTCAGAGTCGGCCAGGTCGCTATATGTACAAGCCGGCACACACACATTCACACCATAGTCAGCCATTACGCGTGCAAACGTCAAAGCAGCCGATACGTTAAGTGGAGATAAAAATAAGTTAAAACAAGATGTCTTGCGTGGTAAAATGGTGTAAAAACCGTAGTGACCGAAAGAAAAAAAATCCAGGAATCACGTTTCATAGGTAAATGAACAATATAATCACTTTTTTTCTAGTTTTTAGAAATCGAAATCAATTTTCATTCTAAGCACAAAATAATTAATCTAAAGTCCAGTGTTGTCAATGTTCACGTAACCATATTACCTAAAATATGGGAAATTGGGGTGACATTAGCTTCAACCTATTATTTGTTATTCTTTTTTATCAGATTCCCTAAAGAAAATGTAGAATGGAGAAATGACTGGATCCAAGTTATTAGGAATTGTAACGGAGATGATGAATGTATTCCAAATAAATATAGTGTCATTTGCAGTATCCATTTTGAAGCTGGAGACTTATATACTACTAAAAGAGGACTCCGGCGTGTTGTTACGCATGCAGTACCTCAAAAGGTAAATTAAAAATTTTAACCGACTTCAAAAAGAAAGAGGTTCTATACGTCATATTTGTTATTTTTTTTTCAATTGTTGTTCGTGCATATCTCCGAGATTCGTGGCCCGATTTTGATGATTATTTTTTTGTTTGAATCAGTTTATAAGCGAGATGGCTGTATTAATTAAGTGCAGAGCTGATGAGTATTTTCGGAGGGAAACAATGGAACTCCTCAATTACAAACAGTACTCAATGCATGTTTTGTTAATTTAAGAAATATAAAAAAGAATGCAGGCCTGGCCAGGCATATTTAGGTGATTTACTCTGGCTTATGAAAAGTGGAAAATATAAACTTTTTCATACAAAAATAAAAACAGACTTCATGTTAGTTTTCCAATTACAGAGCATAATGCGACTCAGTGGCTACCAATGCCGAATTATGCTGATGATTAATTGGAACGTGAATTAGTTTTCAAATGCACCAGCAAAGTGCGCTAAGTTCAGTGTTGAAAAAAAAGTGGAATATAAAAAAAGTCAATATTTGTTATATATAATAGTTTGAATTAACTTTGATTATTTAAAAAAACCTACAATGAAACAAAAGTTTTAAAATATTTTCAACGATAAATAATATTACTAACGATAATATTTAAACAAAACATTTCGATCAATGCCAACTTAAAAACAGTGCGTATGAACACAATTTTCGCCTTTCCAGTATCGATCGAAACGGTGCAGTGTGTTAAATTTTTGCCACGGGACCAACGTTCGACGCATCACCGCGGTCGTCGGTTCAAATCCCGCACTCGTGTTTTATTTTTTATTATATTTTTTTTCCATTTTTTATATATTTGTTTTAGACCCCAGCACCTGTTCTTATTTTTATTTGTCTCCCTTTTATTTAGACTTTATAATTATAATTTTTGGACTAAAGGTGGTAAACTGTGGAGCATGTGGAAGTTTTTTGGCGCCGGGCAATGCTGTTGTTTGCTGTGCTTGCCCAATAAAATATCATAAGGCCTGCCTCGCCAACTATTAATATCAGAGAAAAAACTTGAATTAATATCAAAGAAAAAAATACTGCATAAATAAATAGTATTATTGCATAAGTTGACAAATAATGCTATGCAATAGCTTTACCGCGGCAGTCCCCGAGTGCAACACGATTTTTTTTTAAGTACACGATTTGCATACCTATTTTCTAAATACAGTGGAGCCCCGGTAATCCGGCCCCTGGCTAATGCGGCACCCCCTATAATCCGACATCGTCTATTACATACAAGTATTCGCTAATTCACGATTGAACAAGTTACAACTTGTACGCACCATCACAATTGTGCTCGACGCGTAGGGTATTGTTTTTTATATTTTTTTGTAAATTCTATAGCATTTGACGTTACTTTTATAATAAAACATAATCTTTCTATTGTGTTGTTTAATTTACTCAATTTGACATACATAACAAAGTATGTTTTGTAATCTTATCATTGGATCTGTAATTTGTCGGATTACAAGGTACTCTTTTGTAAAAAAAATCGGACTATAGGGGGTCTTAGGCAGTACTCTATAATCCGACAAATTCGATAGTTCGACACTGCCCTGCAAAATGTTTGTCGGACTACCGGGGATCCACTGCATTCTTTTAAGACCCTTTACTTTGATACCTCGCTTGACGGGTTATAAGCATTTTTTTTCTAAAGGTTTCATTTTGGCGCCTTATTATTGGGCATACATACATGCATACACGCTCGAAAAACATTATCCACCGCAGTCGGGTAAAATTTTGAACAATTAAAATATTTTGATCTTTTTACTGTGTTTTATTGGTAAAAAATTGGCTAACCTAGCAACCCTGCATTCACTCACTCATAGATAACCGCCGCCATTACGGTGCCTCACTTTTGTCTTAGCCGAAATTCTGTCCGCCTTTTTTTATACGTCCTTGGCCTTACATTAGTCGCCTTGTCGCGTATGATGTGTAACATTTTTTTTTAATAATAATAATAAATCATTTATTCCTCACCATAATCCGTTGGGATAACAGAAGCATGATGTTACAATACAAGTCGATACAAGATTATGGCAGGTTGATACCTGAACTAGGAAAGATTCTGTATCTCAGGTTACCAACCCTCCACCTCACTATTTTCTAACAATAATTGTGCAAATCTAAAGAAAATATAACTAGAAAAAATTCCACGCGGACCAGGCAGCAGACGGGACTCGAACCCGCACCCTTCGCAATCCGGGCGAATGCACTGACCATTGCCTTTAACTTAACTGCCTTGCAGCTTAAGAATAGCTAGAAGAATTTTGACACGGTCCGTGTGGGCCGCGGTAGCATAATTGGTCAGTGCATTCGCCCGGATTGCGAAGGGTGCGGGTTCGAGTCCCGTCTGCTGCCTGGTCCGCGTGGAATTTTTTCTAGTTATATCTAAAAAAACTAGCTTTGCGGGACGGCAGAAGCCACAGAAACACATTCGTTATTGATCTTTATCTTGATTTTATTACATTGACGTTGACGTTACGATTGTCAATTACTGAGCTGTCAAAATTCGAGCTTGGGCCCTCTTCACGGCCTCAGCCTCAGGGTAGAGGCACAGACAACATTGTTTAATGGCCTCAGAAGAACGAAAAGTAATATTGAGTCTATTCATCTTGAATTTTTTGATAATCGTGTAATAAAGTAGCTAGTGGCCGTGTTCAATTTTATAAAAAAATATTATAAAATGCATCTTCATGAACACCAAACATTGTTTGTGATGAGTTTTCTTAATATTATTTTATCCCCATCAGTTCTACCTGGAGGTAGGTAAAGTTTAATTCATTATTAAGATTGAAGTTTAAGGCGCAGCGAATGTTTTGATTTACTGTAGTGACACCCAATTCACTCATCAGCTATCTTTGCTTTAAGTCTCCACATGTGTTGAACATCAGATCAAACCAGATAGGTTTAGTGTTAATATTACAGCTTCGATTGGGTCAGACCACTTAGTTGTCTGTTTTGGTATCCATATGTCAGTCCGTTTTTGAAGACCCCTTTTCTCAGGAACAAGAAGAAATTAATATCTTGTACTCAGGTCTGAAAATCCCTTAGAGCAGACAAAGTCAAACTGAATTCAATGAAAGGGTACTACTGTTTATTATTCTCATTTATGTTGCATAGGTACTTTAACAATTGCAAGGGAATCAAAACCTATTTGGTACTTTGTGAAAACCAATGAAAACAATGAGATTTTTAAGTAGCACTGCCAAATAACAAAATAAAAGGCTAATTTAAAAACAGACAAAAGTATTGAGATTCTGATTTCAAATTTAACTCTCATACAACATACAATATAACATCTATGATTCGGGAACAAATAATGTTGCTTATCACAGAAATAAGCACCTCTGGGAAACAGGGTTTGACCCAGGATCATTATACAGAATGCAGGTCTGTTGCAGCTGCACCCACTGGGCATTATTTTTAACCATTAATGTCTTTTCTGCTTCAGAAAAATTGAAAAGTTTTTTTTTGTTTTTCTTTTACCAGATGAAACTTAGAACAAGTATTTTAAAAATAGTTTTTTTTTTACAGCTAATGACTTGCATTTCCATGATGGGACATCTTCGGCGGACATTATATCAGGGGATGTATTTTTTGAAATAGTAGACCCTCTTGAACTGCGATATTCATATCGCATCAGACCAGCTAAGGATTTTGGAGCAACATTTGTAAGTAGTTAATGGATTTGGTTTACTTTAAAACTTAAAGATCTGACAAAAAAAAATGCAGTAATCACAAAAAGAAATAAGTTGAACTTTCACTATTTGCACCTGAAAGCTAACAGCTGGCGCATTCTATATTTATCCTTTGCTTCTAGTCCAGCACGGAATTGTATGGTTGCAATAATTAAATTGAAGTAAGTCTATTAATTGTTTCTTATTTTTAGAATGAAAGCTTATCGTTTCGAAATGCACTCTTAGTGCCTACAATACCATTACACAGCTGTTCAGATATAGTGAATCATGAAGATATAGTGGGGCATATCGCACTATCTGAAAGAGGGTAAGGTTATTATATTATTTAAGTCGCCAAAAACTCCTGTTGAAGTAGACACAGAGGTAGTGAGTGACTCATAGCTCGAATTAATCAGGGGACCAATTTATCATCAATATCTATCATCTGTGAAATAGTGGAATTGGGCCATAGCTAAGTTAATGAGGAGCAGCTGCAGAAGCAGCTACAATCAACTGCTTAAAGTGCCTTCTGGAACATGGACAATTGCGAAAGTCATTTTACTTCCACAATTGTGAATTGTGGGATCGAAAGTTTTAACCATGGCGTCACCCAGCCCTTCACTAATTATTGCTAGAAAGTATTCTGCTTTCAACTCTTGGCCATCCCCTTCAAAAAGCTAAAGAAAAGCATCAATGCTATATAGCATTTATTAATCTCTTTCTCAAAAAAGAAAAAAAATTCATGGTTAGGCCATGCATCCGGCCATGTTTGGGCTTAAAAGTAAATCTTCAACTTCAATTTTTCATTTCTACTATAAATACTTTGATTTTTTATAATCATAACTAACAGATATTTTAATTAATGTTTTTATAATTAATGCAGTTTTTCTGTTTCAGAGAATGCTCTTTTGTTTACAAGGCAGCTAAAGCCCAACAGGCTGGGGCCAGAGCAGTGATTATTACAGAATTTATAGACAAAGGTGATGACTCACTAGATCATTTAATTGAGATGGTTGATGATAAGTAAGTAGATATAAGTATTATCCTTAATAACTTTAGTTTTAGTCCATGTTTGAAACAGAGTTCCCATTACCTGGAGCATCTCTAACCTTATGTTAGACTTGTAAAAAATCAGGATAGCTTTTCTTTTCATTTACTACTAGTGGCCCGCCCTAGCTTCGCTTCGGTGTAGAGCTGTAGAGTGTAGACTAAAAGACTTTGCATATAATTATAAAAAAAACGGAAAATGGTATATATGCTTTTTCTAAACTTCTATTGACATCACATCACTCAGTTGTTTTGCCTTGCCAGAACCTCTCCACTAACATTTGAAATTTATGGTATGGTATTAAAGTTCATATTGACTTTTAAGTATTATTACGAATCAATTGTATGGGAGTATAGAAAAGTGTTATTTTTGTGGCTTTTTCAGGCATTTTTTTAATTTTTCTCTGCATAAGAATCACCCTCGTACTTACAAGGAATATTCTAAAAAAGTGTTATCGAAATTGGTTCAGCTATTCTCGAGATTTGCGCTTAGCAACACATTCAGAAATTAATTTTTATATTATAGATTAGCTCCTGCCATCATTTTGCTTCAGTATATATGAAGATTTATCTTCCCAGGCTTGGATTGTAATTTGTAATTACCTTTAAACCTTGTGTGTAATTTTTTTTCAAACTGATGGTAAAATGTGCTTCAAAATCCAATGCTTATGAGATTGTCATGATCATACAGACAGACAGATAATGTATTGTTCACTAATTGTTAATCAAGTTATGATTTTCAACTTGATCAACAATTAATGAACAATACATTATCGGTCTGTCTGTATGATATGAAGAATAATATTGATTTACTGTTATTAACCAGTCCTTGATATCCATTGCTTATAATATTTCAGGATGGATTTGGATGTAAACATTCCAGCAGCTTTTCTGCTTGGTAGAAGTGGAGCAACCATTCTACGAACCCTCAGAAAGCTTCACAGGAGGGCAGCTATCATCAATCTACCTATAAATATGACGCATGTGCCAATCAACAAAATGAAACAACCTCCATGGATTGCGTGGTGACAACACTAAATCGTAGGCAGCAAAATTACTATATTACTTAATCCATTTGCTGTAAGCATTGTCAAAGTAGGGATGATGTCTAAATTTCTATCAGACATCAGAAAGTATTGGACAAGTATTTTTCTTAATTTACATAGTCAAAATATTACAGGGATATATTGATTTCAAACGTCCATCTTCTTCGACCCCCACTCTCAGTTTAGTTAGTTTAGTTTAAATTTAAACGATGAAGTTTACTAGAAAAAAAACCACGCGGACTAGGCAGGAGGCGGGATTCGAACACGTACCCTTCGCTATCCGGGCGGTACGGTCTGCTGCCTAGTCCGCGTGTTTTTTTTCTAGTATACTTTTCTTAAGATTTAAACATCTGGCAGATAAATGCTTAAAAAATAAAAACAACTAGTTTAGTTTTGTTTTTCCGGACGGTTTCCGCACTTAGCCTTTCAAGACCCGCAAAATGGTCCAATAATTAGTTATTGTACCATTGTGCGTGTCTCGAAACATTCCCGTTTACTCCAGCCATCCTATATTAGTCCAGAAGGAAGCAGCCTTGGCAGACTGCTGCAAGCTTCCGGAACCGATTCTGACGACTGGAGAAGTCGTGCCCGTTGGTCGGCCACACTCCTGCATTCCATGATGATATGCTGTGGCGTTTCTTCTGCCTCCATGCATCCTCTGCATAGGGGGCTGTCTGTTACTCCTATTGTATATAGGTGTTTGTTAAGGGGACAATGACAAGTCAGGGTTCCTATAATCTTGCGAAGTTTGTTCTTATTCGTATTTTTTCAAATGCCTCCCGCTCTTTTTTTTTCTTTTGCACTGGTAATAACAATATTAAAGAAAATGATCGTGAGGTACTTGAAATCCTTCGGCAGTCAGAAATAACAAAATGAAATCGTAAGCGATAACCATAGCAAACCCCTTAGGCAATTGGCCCCCAGGTCTAGGGGCCTTATTCAGGAGGTACTTTAATGCATGCAATGGATTTGTTCTCATTAGCCCCCCAATCTCACTCTTTGATGCGCTTTAACTTTGTAATTTTTTGGTAGATTGACGAGAAAAAAAAGTGTCCAATATTTCTTGATAATCTAACTGACGGACTAAAGAGAATTTTATTTACTTTACCTAGTCATCATCCCTATTGTGTAACCATTATACCAGCTTCGCCTATGGTTTGTGTGGCATTGGTTTTCACACCAATAATAATCTAAATGTTACATTAATATGCAGGCAAATTATATTTACACGTTATATTCAATAACTCTTCCGAGCCAAGGCAAACCAAACTACCTCTATTTTACATGCTGGAGATAGCCAAGGTTGAAAGTTCAACAACTAGCATACTACTACATCATAAATAACATTATGTTCGGTAATATCTTTTTATGATCCTAATCTGGGAACAAATTGTTCAGCTTCTTTTCTGTCGCTATTGATCGACATAATTCGGAGAAAAACATTATAAAATAGATACGTTGGTGTCGATTCTGGCATGATTCTCTAAATCTAAACTTAAATTTGGCAACAGGCTTTCCTTGTCACGCTGTATAAAGAATGAAAAGAAGAAACAGATGTTAAATTTAGTATTAAGTTTAGAAAATCATGCCAACTATCGATACAATTTTATCCATGAACGATAAAAAAGTTATCCTAGATCTGACTTTTGAGATTATCTTTTCTAGATTAGAGAAGAAAGTATTAAAATTCTACCTAACTTACTTTTCGTCTCTCGGCAATAAAAAAAAGTCAAATTTTCATCTGTTTTTTTTACTAGGACAGCCATCCACTTAACAATATTTACGTGGTTTCGGCATTTTGATATTCAGCGCGTTAAATGTGGCGTGCGAGCACTCAGGCGAGCGTGCGGCAATCCACTGTGGGCAGTGTTGCCGTTGTACAAATTAAGTCTCCAGTAATATAAAATATTCTGCTAGGTATTGGTAAATATTTTTATTTAATCCGCTAGAAGTCGCTAAATCGTAATTCTGACGCGCTGAAGTCCGCGAACTCATAACTTAGGGTTTTTCAGTGAACGCCGATCGTCTGATTTTGGCAAATATTTTAATTTTTCGGATAAAGAACAACAAATCATAATCAAATATTTATTCAAAAATCACACCAAACAATCTGGTTATAAAAAAACTGAAACTTACATTTTCTAACAATTACATACTTTACGGCTCAGCTTTCCATTAGCCGTGGTTGAGTTGAGAGCTGAAATTTTTGTCACGCAAAGTATTAATTATTAGAAACACGTACACGAAATCTTTTTAGGCGGGAACGAATAGAACTCGAGAAAAAAATGAATGAAAATTTATGTTTTTGTAGGTTAAGAGTCAATTATGACAGCAATTTTGATCAGTGCTGCCATTTTTTCATGCAAAAATAACATGTTTCTCGTTGTATAATTATGGTAAAAATAAGTTTATTATGTTGTTACTATTGTCAAAATGTGACAATTTACCGCCATTTTGTGTTTGTTTTGAGATTCGTCGGGCAGTCTTTGTGTTCTTTGGTAAAAATTATATTTGCTATTATTTACTTGATAAACAGTGTTACCAACCCTTACCAAAAATTTACCCTAAGTATTTTTTAAAATCCCCTAAATATAGAAATTTATATGTACCTACTTAACTTATTACCTAAACTAGCAAACCTGTGAACTAAATGTTCACCAAAAAAAAAAAGTATTTAATTAATTGAGAACTTCGGAGATTTTGTGTGGTTTCGTTTGAAATAGAAATCACGTGATTTCTCGAAAACCGGAAGTGCTACGTTGCTCACATCCGGTTTGTAGTCTTATCAGACTATTCTTAACTTATAACTTAAACATTCTCTATATCTATCTCTTACGGTTTGGCCGCTGAAACAGCACCACGGACGGACGGACGGACGGACAAACTTGTCTAATAGATAAGAGATTCTTTCGTTGCTCATAAATTAAAACGTTAGATATTTAGTTATAGTAAATTATTTTATTGAATAAATACATTTTCCGAATGGAAAATTAAACGAAAATGAGCTGACAGGCTGTTAAATCTGATTCAGCTGTTCTGATTGGTGGAAGGCAAAGAACTTTAGTCCATACAGCCTTAGGAAACATACTGCCACACAGTGAGTTCAGTCGTTTCATATCGTGGTGCGTTCCATTCTACGCACAAAACTGAAAGAAAACACACGCTTTGTTTTTCGGTTTAATTGAAAGTTTTGTTAAAAGCCCCTAAAAGAACCCCCAAAAAATTCCGGCCCCTAAAAAAGTCCGCTTTTAACCCTTCTAGCCCCTAAATCTGGGGGCAAAACCCCTAAGTTGGGAACCCTGTTGATAAATAAAAAATAGTATGGGCTCAACACTTAGAAAAAAAGGTAAACGTGGCTTTACAACAATCTTGGTCAACCCCGACACGCCGCGCCGTGGTCTTGGTCTGCTCACCCCTAGAGTGGCGCGGAGGGAGAGCAGCCCGTCTGCTGTGACAAAGCCGCAAGCATAGTGCGTCCCGTAGGGCCTGAGGCTGATGGGGAGTGATGCTTGTGACTTTGTCACGCAAAGGCGGAGGAGCTGCTATTCCCGCAGCGCCGGAGATAAGGCAGAAGTACTGGTTCTTACTTCCGTAGTCCTTGCATCCAAAAAAAATGAATTTTTAGGTTAGGTTAATTAAAAAAAAACATGCATTTCCGCCTAAAATCTTTAGTGGGGAGGGGGGACCTTCCTCTCCCCCCCACATCAAAAGTACCCCGAAATTCAACCACAGCTAATGGAATTAAGTACCGCCTCTCCAATACGTATACCAGCAGCTAGCTATTTGGGCTTTGGTTTTCCGACTTGATGAATTACTTTATCTGGCAGATCGGAACACTAGCAATTATTAATATTATATATATATATATATATATATATATATATATATATATAATTTTTCGGTTTGTTATATTATTTTCCAGTGATTTAGAGGAAAAAAAAATCCCTACCTGTTATTCTTATTATTTTAAATGGTTGTTTTTTGGAAGCCGTTTTAATTACTTCGAGCCAGTTCTCTAGAATGTATATTTCTTTGTTTTTTTTTATTCTTCTTTATTAGGCCAAAATCTTGGTCGCATGGTAATTATGAATGCCCACTGACCAAAAATTTATGATCTTTCTTTAACAGTAAAGTCCGGATGAGATACCACATACTGACAGAACAACGATAACTTTATGTTTCTATTCTGTCCTCCGCGTTAGTCAGAATACATGATTATTTTTTTAGTAGTTGCAAAATTTTTAAAAAGTACATCCAATTTCTTGGGGTCCTTGAGGCATCTGACTCGTCCCAAACAAACATGTAGGTATCATCTGTCCCCATGTTTTGAATCCCAAAACAAAAAAAAGTCTAAAGCTGTCTTTCGTAATACACGATTTCAGTGCTCAACACGGGAGTGATAGGGTTTTCATTAAGTAAAAGGTGATTACAGTGATGTCAGTTGATGATTTTGCCAAAAACGTATTGTCTTTTAATTCCTGTCTGGCACTGTCTGCTTTCCTCTTTTGTAATTCTTGTTCACGTTGCAACTCAGCAGTTCACTCTCAGTACATTCAATTTTATTGTTGAAGAGATCACATTTTTTGCAAGTATCACTAACGGGTGCATGGAATCTTAAATTGAAACCTTCATTAAAAAAAAAATTGTGTCTGTCAGCTCCGACGCACGACTGGAGTTTACTCCTTAAGTTCGATAGTCTAACCAGGCGCAAAAAGAGTTTATTTAACTTAAAAAAGATTGATACTGTATGAAAGGGTAAATTAACAAATTAATGAAAATAATACACATATCGTAGGTGCGACAGCAATAGCGCGTAAGAGAAATTTGCAATACCTCGTATCAGTATTTTATCAATTTTTTAGGAGGAAGAAATAATTGGTTATCATGGTCAATATAATATATTTTTTCAACTGAACTTGTTTGTGGTTCCATTGCATGATATTGCATAGGAATGTAATAGATTTTACAAATATCTTTATTATATTTTGAGATATATCACATACGCGATATTGCTGCTAAAGGTTAAGTAAAAAAAAATTCAATTTTGGTAGTTCCGCGGTTTTGAAATTAAACATTTTATTAGTTTATTATAATCATTTATGTTTAATTTTCCATTAAATCACAACACTAAAAATAAAATCATACGAGTAGTTATTAATAATGATATTAACAATCAGTTAAACAAAAATTAAACAAAATATAACCAGTTTGGTAATTCGAAAAAAATAAAACTTCAACCTAAATAAAAATAACCACTGGTTTTGGAAACTTAATGACATCTATAGGTAATAATAAATTCAGCCCTTTTTATTTGTATGGTAAATTATCATAAAAGGCATGGCAATCTTGTGGAATCACACTCTTCAATTCTTGTAAATGATCAAACTTTGTTTTTTACAATTGCCTGCCTCGTTTGGTAAAGTGCAGGAACCACGTCGATCACAGATGATGGTTTCTTTGGTCTTCTAAGCAGAGGTGAAAATTCGTCCGTAAAGTGAAGCTTAAAGTCTATTGTCCCTTTTGGATTATACCTTAGTACTCCTACTTTGCCGCCTTTGATAGTATACGACTCAATTACTGAATGAACAGAGTCTACCTCCATTTGGGTATGCCCTTTTTCCAAATATTTTTGTGTTATGACTATGTTCTTTGCCATAGCTAATCTCAGTAACGTATTTGACACAACATTGTACCTATTTTGCGCAATGCAACCATCTGAATAAATTATCACATCTTTTGGGCTATCATTAATCAACTTGGTTACATAATCTTCGAAAAATGATGCGTATGTCGTATATTTCAAATCGCAGGCAGTCTCATCAAACCAGTAACATGTGACACTATTATTTCCCAGATTGTAGACTGAGAAATTATGTACAGCAAGTTTGGTTTTGAAATAAAGTGCGCTCGCATTCAGAACAGGACATAGTTTAACGGCTTGAAGATCTACCGTCAATACATGTGTAATTCCTTTTTGAGCTGCTTCTCTGTCTCTGTTTTTTTTCAGCTCTTGCCGTATTTTTCAAGTCAATGTGTTTTTTAAACTGTTCATCAGATAAATTACCTGCCTTATGACAGCAGCTTACGTCACAAGCATCTTTTTTAGGCGAGAAAATGCCAATATTTTCTTCAGATAATACGCTTTCAAACAACTTTCTTGAAACTGAAGGCTCATTTCTGTATTGTGAATAATCAGAGTAATGTCGATACAATTAAGCTTTTGTCTGTATTACAGGTTATAAATAAAGCTTCGATGTTGATTGCCTACAATAGTGTGATGGCAGTTTCGGCAGTGCAGTTAAATATTTCTTGACCATTTCTTTTTTGCTTACTTTTTCTTGCGATTCATTTTCTGTTGCAGATATTATGTTGTTAGGAGCATAACTTTTTTCTCCTAACCAATACCGAACCGTCCACTCATTGATTCCCAATGTACCAAGGAAAGTTTTTAAACAAACTCTTACTTTTGTATTCTGAACTCTTAAATAGTATACTTTAGTGTCACTTCGTCTCGAATCTGAAGTTGTTTTTCTTGCTGTTGCTTTTTTATCCACCATGGTTAAAACTATTATAAAATATTAATAGGCACCCGTTGTATTCCCATGTAGTAAAACATGCAAATGACACTATTAAAAGCATTCAATACAAATATAATAAATATACTTACACACTGGTTATTTACAATAATAATCAATCATAAATCAGGAGCGCGCACAATTCCTATCCAGACTTCCACTACAATGCCAGGAAATACGCGGCTTTGCCGCCAAATACTCCCTGAGAACTAATACGCGGTATTGATATAACGGCGAAATGGGCGTTTCTTATTGGCTAATTCAAATGGTGTGACTTCCATTAGGTGCCAATAAGCACTCAGAAGTCGATAGCGCGAAAACTAATTTTTGCGACTTTTGTAAATACGCGGTATTGCAAATTGCTCTTACGCCATATTGCAGTCGCACCGACGATATATAAATATATATTTATTCATTTCATATACATTTATTATAACTAATCGACGAAATATTTTACATTAAACTTTTTACAATAGTCAATTTCAGATGTGCATAAATAAGGCTGCTTTTCCACCAGAGATGTGCTATGCTCCGATGCTATGGATGCGTTTGATATCCACCAATCATATTCATTGGTGCACATAGCTTAGCACTGGTGGAAACGGATTCAACTAAGATATGTTTTTTGTATGGAAGGATGCGTGCTATGGATGTGTGCTATGGATGCGTGCTATGGATGCGTGCTATGGATGCGTGCTATGGATGCGTGCTATGGATGCGTGCTATGGATGCGTGCTATGGATGCGTGCTATGGACCATCGCGAGAGGTGTAGCTATGTGCAGAGCAGAGTACCTACAGTATGCCCGCGTTTTTCACTGAAAGTAGACATGCCATCGTGGAAGCAAAAAGTTATTTTGTATCTCGCAATGTGCGAAGAAGAACTCATGGAGGAAGATGAATTGTTGGTCAGCTTTTTACTTCGACGAAGAAAACATAGATTCTGGTTACGAAATCATATTAAATATCACTCAATACACTCAGAATTCTTTACACTGTTCCAAACAGCTGACGATG